GACGACGACGCGCCAGGCCGAGTGATTGCCCGTGGTAGTTGGCTGTGTTCGGCGCCCTTCGCCGCCATCCAGTTGGAGGTGCGGTGGCCGGCGGTCATATGGCAGAGGTGCTCGTCGTCGATGCGTTGGCTGTTGCGTGCAGGGTGCTGTGATCGGTCCTTCAGCAAGGGCTTGAAGTCAGGGATGTGGATCCATTCGATGAGGTCGTTGAATTCGTCGGGCGACGTCGACAATTGCATGCAGAACCCCTTAATTACGGAATGGAAGGCCCCCCTGAGATCAAGGAAGGTTACCCAGCGAGATCTGGCCCTTCGCCGGCAGTCGGCGATGAAAGCCAGGTGGGCGATGAAGCCGGCCGCCATCTTAGGTCGCGCACCACGCTGCGTTGCTTCCAACAAGTTAGGCAATAGGCCCTTCACCCGTGAACGTAGAGAACCGCTGTGCATCTCCCCGATGGCGTTGTTGAGGAGGACGCCGCGGTGGGATTTCTGCGTCTCAACGGCCCCCTAGCCCTTGTGGAAGTGGGTGGAGTACCCGCCCTTAGCAGCGATGGGCTCGGTGCTCTCGATTTGTGTCTTGACCAGGACAGGGCGCAGAAGTCGGGCCATCCCTTCGGGGTCTGCCCTGGACACGTCGTCGGCGAGCTGGTCTGGTCCTCCTCGTCTGCCTCGCCTGGCAGCGGCCAGCTGGCTAGTGAACTGGCGCTTCGGGATGATGTTCTGGACGTCCGTTGCTGGTCGAGTAGTGCTGGCTCTCACGTCGTAGTCTTCGGCTACCCCATCGGCGCCCGTGGACTTGCTCATCACCATTCTGCCGTAGCACGCAAGGGCGTGGTCGGCGATTTCAATCTTGGTCGCGGGGGGCTTGCCGTCGTCGGCGCTGCGAATGATACGCGTGGGCGGCTTCTTTGGCCTTCGCCCTCCGAAGGCCAGTGGGCGCTTTGCGCGCAGGACCTCTCGTCGCGGGGCGTGGCCGTCGATGGCGGCGCTCATTCATTCGGCGATCTTCTCGGGGGAAGCGCCGCGATCTTCTTCAACCTACTTCCCAAGCAACGGCTCAGTCGCTTCGAGGAACTGCACGATGGCATCATTGTAATGCTTAGTGCTGTCCGCGCTGCGGGGCGCCCCTGCCCCCGCCCTCGACGCCGCCGTCTGCTTGGCCACCGAGGAAGGGGTGTCGGAGAGGACGAAGGTAGCGATGACTTTGGCGCAGTCGCTGACACTGGCCAAAAGCCCGGCGCCCGCCGGGCCAGGGATCACGGCGTCGCGCGAGAGAAGCTTCGCGGTGCATCGGGGTCGCTTCGCGCCGTAGAAGTACGTGACCCCGTGCCCCTTCGCGACGCGGGTCGCCTTGAGCAATGAACGGCAAACTCGTAGAAGAGCGAAGGAGCGCCACATGATGCAGGGCTCGCGCGGGGCACGGCCGCGGGAGCGGAAGCTCTCGCAAGCCGCCTTCGTTATCTTCTCGACGATGGTTGCGAGGTGCTCGTTGATGTTGCCGCCCCAGGACGGGTGCTAGATGTACTGGAGCTTTGGGCTGAACTCCTTGCGGCAGGCGTCGTCGGCCAGTCTGGACGCGTCGAGCATCGGAGCTCCCTCGGTAACCGAGGATAAAATCTCATGGGCGAGCTCCAGCTTGACGGGGTAGCGGTCGCCCTCGGCGTTTGGGTCGCAGCCGTTACCGATGCCGCACAGGACGGAGCACGCATCAATCGAGCCCAAGTACCCACTCGGAGTGATGACGCAGTCGACGCGGCGATTGCTGACAAACGCATTAGCGGCCACAAGATGATTGGAAAGGAGCAGCCCGTGGAGACGTCTTCCGTTAGGATCCTCGTTCTGCTGCATGCCCTGGTCGCCGATCGCCACGCTGGTGATGTCGCCCGTTCTGGCGCTGGCGCCTATCAAGATGATTCCGATCTGGCACTTCTCGGTCGCCTCGGCGGGCCTCGTCCAAAAGCTGGTCTTCTCGTCCTCAAGGGCTTCTGAGTGGGGGGGCGCGGGCGACGGCCAGTACATGGGAGAAGCCAGGTGCGCTCACACGGATGATGAAGAGCCCGGGGTCCTTTTCGATAATGACGAACTGGTCGGGCTTGAAGAGTAGCTCGTTCTTGCCGCATTTCCCCTAGGGCTTGCTAAGGAAAACGTGAAATCGCAGCCGTGGTTGCAACCCCTGTGGCCGCTGGAGATGACTCGGTAGTTCGCATTGGCGCAGGAGGCGTCGCCCTCCATCTCGGAATCGCGCATACCCCTTGGCGCCCTGGCCTCCTGGACGCCGATGATGTGTAGGTCCTCGTCGTATAGGCTGGCCATGGTGGTCTTTAGCTTGTTGATTTTCCTTCCGTCGCTTCGCTCCTTCTCTAGGTTCCCGACCTGTTGGTATGTTGAAGGTCGCAATGTTGATATCGATCTCTGTTCTCCTGTCGCTGGATCCGGTCGGCCCGTAGAAGTGGCGTGCTTCGGCGGCCGTCTGGACGTTGCTTGCAGCGAGGTTGCCCTGTCCGAAGGCGGGGTAGGCCTCCCTGGTGTTCTGGCCCGCATCAAGCAAAAACTACCAGTCTCGCTGGCAACTGCCGTCCATTATGATCGCCCGTTCTTGCCGTGGAACTGGAACTGCGGCGATGCGAGCGCGGTTAGCGGCCGCGTCGTCGACTTCGTTCCAGGGGCGGTGCTCGCGCGCGTGGACGCGCTGCAGGTCGATCTTCTGGCTGATCATGTCGCAGAGGATGCAGAGCGCCCCGGCAAGGTCGGGGTCGCGGTCAGCGAAAGCCATCCTCTTCGCAAGCTGCATGGCCCCCAGCGAGTCGGTCGAGATCGCGACGATGTCGTCGAGGTTGCAGTGAAAGACCCAGGCGAAAGCCCATGTGAGCGCGGTAATCTCGACGGTAGGTGGAGGTGGTTTCCCTGTGGCTCTTGCCCTTCTCTGCGATGTCGGTGCTGTTCTTGTGCTTCCCAACGATTGCTGCTTAAAGCGCGAAGCTGGGGTCGTCAACTCCAACAATGATCACGGCCCAGGCGTCATCGCTCGGCTTCTCGGGGTGCTTGGAGCCGTCGGTGACGAGGTGGATCCTTGCGTTCGGCTGGAGCGGTCGCGGTGGATGGTGGCGCAGCGTGCACTCGGCGGTCTCATTGGGGCTCTCGTCGTGGAATTTGAAGGTGGGAGTTGGGTGGTGGGTTTGCTGCAGCGTTTGTTTGATGGTGGGTCGGGCGTCAAAGTCGACTCGGTGCTGCTGCTGTGGCGTTGGTGATGCCGGTGGTAACTGCTGATGGTCGGGTGAACGTGGCGCGCTGGCAGTAGGTACTCGGACGGGTTGAATCGCATTCCCCTCCACCGCCCTTGTCGCGAGCGCTTCCGTCGGAGTCGGTAGCGGTGGATGGTTGGGCATAATCAAAGCGGCTACTAGGACTAGTCGTCTGGCTAGGCCACTATGGGGTTGTCTGGGGTGGATTGTTGCACGTAGGGGTTCGCTTTGGGTCGGAGCATCGAGTATGAGTCCCCGAAGTCGTCGCCGAGGTCAACGGTGACGCCGCCAGTCAGCTGGGGCGCGGTGTAGTTGTTGACATCGAGTCGCTGGGCCGCCAATGTTGTCGCGCTGCCGACAATTGGCTTGGCGGCTGGGGGGTGGTTGTATTGCTGGAGTGGGTGTCTAGGCATGCATCTTCGACGTCTGGGATGTCACGTGGGTTCATTCCGTCGCTGAAGGCCGCAATGTCTGCGAGGCCCCCTGAAACCAGAGTGGTAGGAGCTTGGAGGCCTAGGTGGCCTGGAGGACCAGAGGGGGAGGAGGAGGGGGAGGAGGAGGAGGAGGAGGAGGAGGAGGAGGAGGAGGAGGAGGAGGAGGAGGAGGGAGGAGGGAGGAGGAGGAGAGGAGGAGGAGGCGGAGGAGGAGGAGGGGGGAGGAGGAGGAGGAGAGGAGGAGGAGGAGGAGGAAGGAGGAGCAGGAGGAGGAGGAGGAGGAGGAGGGAGAAGGAGGAGGAGGAGGAGGAGTAGGCGGAGGAGGAGGAGAGGAGGAGGAGGAGGAGGAGGGGGGAGGAGGAGGAGGAGAGGAGGAGAGGAGGAGGAGGAGGAGGAGAGGGGGGATACCGACGTCGTGACAGCGCTGCTCGAGCCAGAGAAGGGTGGGATGCGGCAACAATTGGCTGCAGCCTGGCCTGGGAATTGCGATGCCCTCCCCATCCGTGATCGGTGCCCTGGGGCCCCCGCCCTCGCCGTCGCGCAACGAGAAGAGATCCCTGAGGCTGCCGTCGGGCCATGCCTACGTGCAAGATGTTGGTCCTAGCTGTACTGGAGCGTCGCTCGTGGCTTTGTAAAGATGTCGCTACGGAGAAGTTGTCTGCGACTCGAAACACGGAGAGACAGACCTTGTCCCCCCAAGGGACCTGCAACTCCACCCCATGTCCTTTCGAAAGCTCGCGGCTTGTCTGAGGAACTCAGGGACGCAACGAAGAGCTTTAGGGCATTCGGGCCACTCTCGAGAAGCAAACGCGTCTTTCGGACTGGCTGCAACCTCTTGGTGCGCTCCAAGGCCAGGACGCTCTGCATCCGGCGCCATTAGCGAAGCCAGACATCGACGACGACCCGGGTGACACCTCTGCTCAACCACGCTTCCGGAGCTTGTTCTCGAAGGGTGACGTCGCACGCTTCTTAGGGGCCCCCACCGAGCACGCCGGTCCAGGTCGGGACTGGGGTCGCCGCTACACGAAGGATGCGGCAGAGCTCCAGTAAAGCGGAGGAACTGCCGCGCGCCATGCTGCAGTGCTCACCGAAGAGGTGTCGCACTGCAACAGCCGACTCACGATCACCGACAACAGCCGTGTGCGAATCCAGACTCATACGATGGCTGGGTGCTTCCGCCCGCGGCGATGATCAGGAGGAGGAGGAGGAGGAGGAGGAGGAGGAGGAGGAGGAGGAGGAGGAGGAGGAGGAGGAGGAAAGAAGAGGGCCGACAGCGGAGGACGAGGGCGAGCAGCAGCAGCACCACCACCGACAGGGCGACGGGCCTCCCCGGAACCTGGCGCTCTCTCCCGTGGCGAACTCGGAGGACACCTTGGCGGTCGCCCTGGCCGCTGCAGCCTGGAGGCGCCCGGGGGGCCTGCGCTGGACGGGCCCCGAGAGTCAGGCACACGAGGCGGAGAGGAGGGCAATCCGCTCCAACTCGGTCCCTGGACCCCTCCTCCTCCTCCGCCTCCTCCTCCGCCTCCTCCGCCTCCACCTCCTCCTCCTCCTCCTCCTCCTCTCCTCCTCCTCTCCTCCTCCTCCTCCTCCTCCTCCTCCTCCCTCCTCCTCCTCCTCCTCCTCCTCCTCCTCCTCCTCCTCCTCCTCCTCCTCCTCCCTCCTCCTCCTCCTCCTCCTCCTCCTCCTCCTCCTCCTCCTCCTCCTCCTCCTCCTCCTCCTCCTCCTCCTCCTCCTCCTCCTCCTCCTCCGCCTCCTCTTTGGACGCCCGAAATGGGCACGGAAACAATGGGCACAATGTCCAACAGCAAATGTTGTCCCAAACCCACAGCGGCCGATGTTGGGCAGGCGGCCCTGTGTCTCAAGTGGACACAGGCCGCGGCGGCGTGGACAGCGAGTCCTGTTCAAAATGAACAGGAACTGCTGTTGGGCATTGTACCCATTCTTTCCGTACCCATTTCGGGCGTGAAGATCCTCCTCCTCCGCATCCTCCTCCTCCTCCCAAGGACGAAAAACCAGCCCGCTTCTCGAGCCGCGCCCAGCCGTGGTGGGAGGGGGGGAGGAGGGGACCCAGGAGAGCGCCAAGCACTACACCACCACCACCACCACCAGCGTGGACCCTGGACTGGCGTACAGGCCTTTTTGGCCTGGGCCCGGAGGACTGTGCACCGATCCAGGGCCCATGAAGTGCCTGTCCAGGGCTGGTGGTGGCGTATAGGTGGCGTCCCTCCGAGGCCCCCTTCCTCCCCCCTTCTCTGCTGGCTGGAGCATGTGCTGGGCCTCCTCAGCCCCCCAGCCGGCTCCAAGTGGCAGCGCCCCTCCCTGCCATCTACGATCTGGAACCTTGGCTTCAGTCGGGCGGGTCCCTCTACAGGCGGAGCTTTGCGGGAAAATGAGAAATACTCAAAACATACCCCGAAAGAGTCCGAAAACAATCGACGAATCGGCCCCAAACTATTTTTGACTATTTTTGAATACTCCTCGACTCCTCCTGTAGAGGGACAGGACAGGCCCGACTCAAACCTTGGCTTGGCGCGCTGCGCCGCCGGCTCTGGCACACCGCGCCTCGGCGCGACGCGCGGACCACTTCCTGACCAGGCCTCCCGCCCCGAGGAGCGGAGCGACACGTCGTCCGCTCGCTGGAGCGCGCTTCTGTATTTTCGGCGATGATGGGCATTATGGGGGGAGAGGGGCCAGGGGGGGGAAGAGGAGGAGGAGGAGGAGGTGGAGGAGGAGGAGGAGGACGAGGAGGAGGAGGAGGAAGAGGAGGAGGAGGAGGAGGAGGAGGAGGAGGAGGAGGACGACGAGGAAAAAAGGAGGAGGAGGAGGTATAATGTAACGCCTCCCCCCCGCCGTGCGCACGGCGGCAAAGCCCAGAGCGCACTGGGGGGGGAGGGGCGTTACGTTATGGGGGGGGCGGGGGGCTGTCATGCCCATTATGCCTCAAGCAAGGAAGAAACACGCTCCTGGGCACAGCGTGTCGCCAAGGCCGCCGCCGCGACTTCGTGCCAGCGGCAGCTCGAGTCCAAGAGGCGGTCGAGGCAGCCGAGGGGCGCACCGGAGCCGCACTGGGCACAGGGGGGACACTGGAAGTAGCGCGGGGGGGCGGAAGCCGCGGGCGGCGGAGCAAGCTTAGACCGTGAAGACCTCGCACGTGTATGTCAGGGCGCAGGCCAGGGCGCAGGCTCACACGGGCAGCGGACCCGGGAGTAGCAGGGCAAGACATGCAGCCGTACCAGCCCAACCCCCGACGTCGCGACTTTTGTCGCAACGTCGACCCCCAGAGGTCTGGACCCCTTCTGCGGGACCGGTTGTTCATCCGAGCCGCTTCCCGACGGTCCCCAGGCACGGCAAGGGCCCCCAGAGGCCGAAGGCAGCGAAAAATCTCCCGTCGTGATTGTTTCACCACGCGAGGTGGTCTGGGGCACCAAGGTGCGGCAAGGACCGCCGCCGCAGCACGCTGAGCCGAAGCCCTCGACCGTCTCCTCCTCGGCGCGCGCGGCGCGGGAGGCACGCGGGCCTCGGAGGCCCCGAGCGGCGAGCCAGGCGCCGAGAAGCCTAGGCTGCCGATCGCCGTGCCCTTCCTCGGCAGCTCCCTGGCAGGCGGGCGGGCGGGCGGGGACGTCCACCTCCTCCCGCTCCTGCTCATGCTCCTGCTCCTGGTCCTGGTCCTGCTCCTGGTCCTCCTCCTCCTCCACCTCCTCGTCCTCCTCCTCCTCCTCCTCCTCCTCCTCCTCCTCCTCCCCTCCTCCTCCTCCTCCTCCTCCTCCTCCTCCTCCTCCTCCTCCTCCTCCTCCTCCTCCTCCTCAAATTAGTATGAGTGTTCCTCTTAGCTGTTATTATTCGTCGTCTGAATATGCTTCGTATATCATCCACCGTACTACTAGTAATGAAAATAGTAGTAGTAGTAGTAGTAGTAGTAGTAGTAGTAGTAGTAGTAGTAGTAGTAGTAGTAGTAGTAGTAGTATTAGTAGTAGTAGTCGCAGTAGTAGTAGTAGTAGTAGTAGTAGTAGTAGTAGTAGTAGTAGTA